CATTTAGACAAATGGAGCTCCAGTGTCCACTCGCTCCGGTTCCGGAAGTTCATTTTTCATCCATTTTTCCCGTAGACTTTTCGAAAATTTCAAATATTTGGAGTTTAAAGACATCGCAGGAGCTAATGTGCTAACTAGAGATGCGGTGATATTCAATATAATCTAAAATTGTTCGATACTAGTCACGATTCGATACACCTGCCTTGTCGATACGCACGTGTCCTTCCATGCTCATCATCTTGTCATTTATTTTGGTCAGAGAGGAAAACAGTTATCGCTGTGTCCTCCACAGATACTTAAAGCTGAAATATTGTAACAGGTGTGGATTTTATCTTTCACTCACATTTTATTTTATGTTTATAGCCCCAGGAATGACAAAGATATGAACTTTTAAATACTTTAGAATCACTTTTGGCTTCACATTGACTCATATTTTTTATAAAACATAAAACAGCCTGAGAAAACTGTTTTTATTTTCACTAAATAAAAATTCTGAGCCGTGAATCGTTGAACTAAATGAACCAAAACACTTCACATTTAAACTACAGCTGTACATTTGTTGTACTGTAATGTGTTTATGTGTGTATTGTTGCACTAAAATCATTGTGTTATTTATGTTATACTCATTAGCAGAAAAAAATTACATTCCATTTTTTTTCGGGGGGGGTCTTAAAACTTCCAGTCCAATCCATTTTATTTCTATAAGTGCTGCACAAATACATAATAACAACAACAATAATAAAATGATATAAAATAAACTACTAAAATAATCATATTGGTCTTAAAATAATAAAACCAGTCAAATAAAATAAGAGCAAAATCATAGAATAGCAATAAATGAATAAATCCAATAAAAATACATTCAAAATAAATAAAATGATAGTAAAAAAATAGAATAAAGATAGAATAGAATAAAAGTGGGTCTTAAGAAAACGTATCAAAATAAACCAATATCTAATATCCATGTTGCAGTTGTTTTAAGCCCAAAAAGCTCATTTAAGACACAAGATTTGATGTAATGTTTTAATCACCTTTTCACGGATTTATGAAACTTTAGAAACAGAAAATAAAGTGCAAGTCTTGGGGTTTTTCTTTTCCACAGAGCTGATGAGCACTGAGCTTTCAAACTTTTAATATGAATAATTTCTGGAGGGTTTATGGAAAAAGTGAATGAGAAATGAACTTCTGTAACCTGGGCCGGTCTCTGCTGAGCTCCTCGCGGATCATTCAGCGGCGATACATGAGGATATGGTTCTATTATCCAAATAATTACAGCCTTTGATTCGATAATAGCTTCAACGCAAATGGTTATTTTGATTTGATTACGACGTGCAGCCCGACGTCCCGGTGTCTGCTGTTGACGGGTTTATTTACGTCTCCGTGACTGAGACTGAAACCAAACACTCCCACAGTTTCCTTTATGATAAAACATCTTTTAAAGGTGCTGCCTGGGTTCATCGACAGTTTAACTCCGTGGAAATGTCCGAGCTGTGCCTGGAGAGTTCCACTGTATGGCATTAGTGATAAACATTTCACAGCATCTGGCCACGTTACAGGTCAGATCAGTGGAGCTGCCGCCTGCTCACAAACACAATCTATGTTTTCATGGTGTTTTTAACTATAGAGTACTATAGAGTCATTGAGGAAATATCTTTAATGGGCCCATATTACCGTATTTCCCGCACTATAGGTCACTCTGGATTATAAGGCGCTCTGTCATTGAATGGTCTATTTTCAAACTTTCTTCACATATAAACCGTTTAAAATAAAGCACCTTAAACGAAACACAACAGTTCAATAAGTCAGTCAAACTTTATTTAACGCGTTCACAAGAACTCTCAACTTTGTTCAATTGTAACGTGTAAAAAAAAATACTGTGTGAAATGCTAAATTGTTTGAGTTTTCACAATAAGTCATAACAGTTCAAACAGTTGGGTGATTCCGGCGTCCAGCACGTCCACATCCCTCTCGTCATTATCTGAGTCATTGTGGTTACTGTTCCCTGGAAGTTCAGTTCAGTGATGATTCTGGTCTTGGTGAAAGCTCGGACCACAGTTGATCCTGATCCTTAGCCCGGGCGTCCACGATCCGTTGGCAGATCAGCGCTGTCTCCCTGTCTTGGTGAATGTGTCATGCCACGCCATTTCATCAAAATTCCAGAAAATCTCACGCATCATGTTTTTTTTTAATTTTGAAAAAATTACCAGCTGCTCCCTTACTATCAAGTACCAACCCTGTGAAATTTTAGTAATTTTCGATCAATAGTTTTCAAGTTAAAACTCATTTTATGAGGAGGGTATGTGTCAATTTACAGGCCCAAAATGCGTGTAATTTTTTCTCGGCCGTTTTCACAGGTCGATATCTCCGTAAATATCGCACATACAGGGCTGAAATTTTGTTAACTGTTAAAAATAAAACATAGCTGGAATAAAACACAGTACATGGTCACTGTTCACTTGTGTCATTGTGTCAAATGTGAATGTTCAAGATGCAATAAAAAATTGAAGGAGCTTCATAAAATATGTATGTTTGGTATGATATGAAAGGTCTTTTTCTGCTCTTTCAGGAAAAAAATATGCCACATTTTTTATCACTACCCACATGCCATAAATTACATGTGAAAATCGGACCTTGTTATGTTTTCTTGTTTTTAACAGGACCCTCACACATAACCTATTTCAAATTTTCAACATTTGGTGTTTTTTTTTTACAGTTCATATATTGATTCTCAAAAAAATTTAAGGGTCTCTACACCTACAAGTAGGTTTAAAAAGGGGCTAAAAATGGTACGCCACGGAAATGAAGGAGTTTTTTTTTTTTTTTTTTTTTTTAAGTTCATATAAAATGACAGTGAGTTGAGATACCAAACTTTCGATCGATGTTATTTGAACACAGAGTAGAGGAGGACAGGCCTACAAAATTTCAGCCCTCTGTGTGTGATACTTACGGAGATATCGACCTGTGAAAACGTCCGAGAAAAAATGCCGTGCATTTTGGACCCGTAAATGGACACATACTCCCCTCACTAAACGAGCTGTAACTTAAAAAGTAAATCGAAAATCACTAAAACTTCACAGGGTTGGTACATGATAGTAAGGGACTATTTGGTAATTTTTTGAGATCGCAGTGCGTGGGCCATTTGTTGAAATGGCGTGGAATGACCCGAGTGTGTTCTCCTTCTCTCATCCACTGCTCCCACGCAGCTCGCACTTTCACTTTATAACAGCCTTGAGTTTAAAGTGGGGGTTGTGAGCGTGTCTCTTAACAGGTGAATTTTGATAATAAAAGGAATCACAGTATGTTTTACTCCTGATGCTCCTGACTACGGGAGCCGTGATGCTGCAATTGGAGCGGCTTTTTAGTTTACTAAAGTCGTACTAAGACACAACAATAAATTCATATATAAGTCACTCTGGATTATAAGGCGCGCACTCATTTTTTGATGAAATTAAAGGCTTTTAAGTGCGCTCTATAGTGCAGAAAATACAGTACACTATTTTCTGATCTGTTTCCTCATCAAAAACATACCTGGAGTTGAGTTGCTTTCATTCACACGTTCACAACACACTGTTCCACCTTGTGATGTCATGTGGCCAAACAGGAAGTTCTTTGCTGTGTTTTTAACAGAGTTCCCACTTTTTTGTAACTGACAAAATTTCAAAACTTTTGCATGACTTTTTCATGACCTAAAGTGAGTTTTCCATGACTTTCCACTCACCTTTGTATTGGTATTGTAGTTTTTTAACATTCAAAATACTGAGAGTGCGTGTGAGTTTATTGTCGTCTCTTTTAAACAAAAGGCGCAGACGTTTGGAAATAAGTTATCAATAGGCTATTATGATTAACAGAACGCTGTAGCTGCATGAAAGAGATACTAAAATTACATGACTTTTCCAGAACTTTCATTGAATTTACAAATTGCCTCGACTTTTCCAGGATTTCCATGACCCTGGGAACATACACCTTCACTAGAACCATTTAGATAATTTCAGCCCAAGAATTACAAATCGCTACACTGCAACAAAGCTTGGCCAAAACTTAAGATATAAACACTTAAATCTATCAGAAAATGACTTAAAAGTAGTGAAATTATCTGTCCATGCAGCAAGATCTTCAAATAAACGACCTCTAGACTAGAATGAAGCAGTCTCATAACTAGTGAGTAGATAATAAATCTGAAAACAGACGAACCGTATTGAACCATATGGAAATGATCTGAAATATCCAATCCAACTTAATTTGTACAGCACATTTTATAACCAAAACAGTTTGCAAAGTGCTTCACACAGCAATGAACATAAAACATTTTACTTTAAAAAAAAAAAAAAAAAAATCAGCAGAATTATGTTTCAACCATAAGGACACTAATAGAATAAATAAATAAAATAATAATAATAAAGTCAATGAACAAAAATAAGAAAAATCAATACATAAAAGCGGTACTGAAAAAATAAAATGGATAAAAAAACAATAAATAATTAAATAAATAAAATGAAAGACACAGTGGAGCACACAACTCACGCGGTGTTAAAAGCCAGAGAATAAAAGTGGGTCTTAAGACGAGACTTGGGGGTCCTGTAAGTCGTCTTTGCGAGTCCTGAAAAGCGCTACATAAATGAAATGTATTATTTAAATTTCCACTTCGTGACATCACAAGTTGGAACAGAGCATTTTGAGCTTTGGAAATGTAGACGGACTAATAATAAAGAGTTACTCAAACATGTGTGAATGAAACAAAACACAGCTCCAGCTCTGTTCTTGAGGAGGAAACGACATTATAACACTAAAACCTTAAAGCTCACAAGAGTCCATTTAACGTAATATAGGATCTTTTAATGCCATACTGTGGAACTTTACAGGCAATGAAATAACACGATAACATCTTCATGGAGATTTTCAGGTGGCCGACTCACGACCAGATAAGTGATGTGCCTTTTTAACGTAGAACAAAGAATCTGTACATGCTTTATCCGTCACCGCGTGTTCCTGTGTTCCCTCAGATCCACGCTCTGATCACGGGTCCGTTCGACACCCCGTACGAGGGCGGCTTCTTCCTCTTCCTGTTCCGCTGCCCGCCGGACTACCCCATCCACCCGCCCCGCGTCAAGCTCATCACCACGGGACACAACACGGTGCGCTTCAACCCCAACTTCTACAGGAACGGGAAAGTCTGCCTCAGCATCCTGGGGTAAGAGACACACACAGAGTGCGTATACAGGCACATCAGTAACCCGGTTATTAGCCATACCCCGGTTATGTCAGTATTCGTGTTACTGCGTTTACATGCGCACTGAGAAACCGGGATACTCATATCCACGTGTACATGATCAAATGGAGTATCCCGGTTTCTTGACATAATCTTACAAATGCGCAGGCACAAAAATTAACTTAAATCAATTTCATAAACCAGGAAAAATACAAACCGTGAGCTCCTTTAGCATAAGAAGCTAAGGAGCTACGAGATTTCCACAATCCACTGTGCAGATTCTTCATTAAAATCTTCTGCATAAATAAACTCAACTTTACAACATATAAACCATAAACACTATAGACACATCAGCCCGTTTGATCAGATCATTCAGCTCTGATCACATTTGTTTGTTTTACAGAAATTAAACTTAAGACCGTTTAGCTAATTAGCATAAACTGTTAGCGGCGATAAGAACAACTCGCTCCTTGCGCCGCTGATGCGATCAGTTTCTTTTGGACTAAATGACACGACTCTGTGGATATTATGTGTGTTATTTCTGTGACAGAAGAGGCGCTAATGATGGTAAGTGTGTTCCGTGCGTATAGTGTACAGGAGATAGTTCGTTTTAGCTTTTCAGTGATCACACGAGTGCAGGTCGTACGTGCAGGTCGTACGAGTGCAGGTCGTACGAGTGCAGGTCGTACGAGTGCAGGTCGTACGAGTGAGGTGTACGAGTGCGTCGTACGAGTGCAGGTCGTACGAGTGCAGGTCGTACGAGTGCAGGTCGTACGTACGTGTGTGCAGGTCGTAACGTGTGCAGGTTTAGCGCAGCTCTTTATTTTACAGTCATTTCACTCGTTTGGTCACTTTTATTTATGTTGGTCAATTTTATTTATGTCACTACTGTTGTGGTGAAAGGCTGGAAAGTGTCTTTTGGACACATGCGACTCAACTTTATGATGCAGTAACCGGGATACTGCGTTTACATGCCACAAGTATCCCGGTTATTATCGGAATAACCCAGCTACAGTAACCCAGTTTCTAATAACCGGGATACTGAAACCGGGTTACTGCGTTTACATGCACCATCAAGAAACCGGGATACTCAAAAAACCCGATCATAACCGGGTTATTGATGTGCATGTAAACGCACTCACAGACACACACACACCGCAAGAGGGCGCAAGAGCTGTTCTGTTGGGGTTTTTATGATAAATATTACAGTTAAGGTGTGCACACTAGAGCTGTCAAAAGTATCGGAGGAAAAAAATAGGCAGGTACTGATACTAAAAAAAAAGTCATATTTACAGGACAGAAATAAATCTCTCCTGAATAAAGCTTTTTCACAACAGCTGGAAGTGTCCCGCTGTAGGTTTGTGGAACTTCCGGTTAATGTTTTTCTGTGTGAATGTGTGTCGTAAATCCATGTGTCGTTCGTTCATTCGTTTTTGAATATAAAACCAAAAATAAGAAAATGAAAAAAACAACAGTTTTCTTTATTATTTGTCTCCAAAACCAAAATGAAAAAACAGATAACGATTAGTTTTTTCAGTTTTTGATTTTGTGTTTAAATGAAAAATGGAAAAAACGGATAACGACCGTTTCTCCTTTACGTGACATCCATGACTGCGAAGCCGGACTTTTACACCACATACGGACTGAACCAGGACTAATCCAGCTCTGGGACCACACCGGGACCAGACCAGGACCAGAGACCTGAGACCAGAGCGGGACTGAGACCGAGACCAGAGACGGGACTGAGACCGGGACTGAGACCGGGACTGAGACCGGGACTGAGACCGGGACTGAGACCGGGACTGAGACCGGGACTGAGACCGGGACTGAGACCGGGACTGAGACCGGGACCAGACCAGAGGCTCCGAGCCCACTGCAGGGCCGGAGCTCAAAGCTGAGGCTCGGAGTCAAAACTTTGCTAAAAAAAACAACAACATTTAACCGGAAGTTCCACAAACCTGCAGCGCGACACTTCCGGCCGTTGTGAAAAAAGGTCTAAAGCTTTAGAAAGATTCTCAGCTCAAGATCAATCAGCAGGTTCACTTGTGATTCCAGTAACTTTTTTAAAACCGTAAAAGCTCATAGTGTAACGATATCTAAGTCTCATGATACGATATCATCACGGTATGAACCTCGCGCGTATGATATTTATTACAATATCGTGGGAAAGCTCAAGATTAGAGATGTAACAATATCCAAATCTCTCAGTACGATATTTTCACGATCTACATCTCACGGTACGATATTTATTGTGATATTTTGCTTCTTTTTCTTCTTAAAATTCCTTGACAAGACTTAATCCAAAGAACTAAGACTTAAAAGTGTTAAAACTGTTATTTCTTCTTGTCGTCTGCACTGAAATGGAGCAAAGGATCATGGTCTATGTAGTTCCCTCTGTCTTTTTTAACTGTTGCTGGACCATGACTCTTCATTTAAGCGAAGAGACTTGTAATTCTGTATATTATAATGGTCCGTGATATTATTGTGAGAACTTTTGACGATACGATATCACGATATTTTGGTTATTGTTACGTCCCTAGTAAGAACACAAGATGCACCTTTAAGAAGGTCTGTGAAAATACCTTTAGTGGATCCCTGGTTGTGACTGTGGAGCTCCGTGCCAACTCCAACCCGTCCTAATGTCATTTTAAGAGAAAACAGTAGACCTAACCTGTCTCCTGTGTGTGCGTTTGTGTTGCAGCACGTGGACGGGTCCGGCCTGGAGTCCAGCTCAGAGCATCTCCTCCGTGCTCATCTCCATCCAGTCCCTGATGACGGAGAACCCCTACCACAACGAGCCCGGCTTTGAGCAGGTAAAAAAAAAATGGCGTAAAGTGATCTGTTGCCTCCGGGCCTCAGGGTTTTTCGGCTCCCAGAATTGGACCCTCTTCTTATTACTTTATTTTAGACGGGGGCCCGTGTGAGACTTCTTGCCCCGGGCCCCCGAATCTCTGTCGACGGGCCTGTGTGAGGAACAGACCGTCACTTAGAGATGATCATTTATAACGAATTAAAGCAAGTTTCAAAGATATGATACAGGATACGGTTATTACGTTTGTGAAAGTAGATGTTTTTATTTAAACTCTCCTTAAGGTTAAACTGCAAATTTCTCTGATCTGGCCAAGGTTTAAAAACTTATGTCAGGTTATTCATCTTGTTTTCAGATTTATTATCCACTTACTAGTTCTAAATTGGATTAATTCTTGTCTAGAGGTCGTTTATTTTAAGAGAACTTGTCAAGTAAAATGATCTCACTGCATGGACAGATAATTTCTCTACTTTTAAGTCATTTTCTGAGAGATTTAAGTGTTTATATCTTAAATTTTGGCCAAGCTTTTTTGCAGTGTAGTTTTAAGATTCTGTACAAGACTCCGCCCAAAGGTTCACGTCAGCCGTGTTTAGGGTGACCAGTAGGGTGAATCATTTTCCCCAGTGTCAGAAATTCAACTTGTCCCCAATTTTAAAATGTGACAAAACCAATGAAAAGAAAATCTGTGGAATATTTGCTCAGATGAATAAAACCTACTGGGTCCAACAAAACTCTTAAGTTCCATCCTAACAGTGTCCAAAATCTGTTTTTCTCAAATAACTTTAAAAATAATCCATTTAGGGCCACGGTGTCAAAGAATGTTGAATAGAAATGTTGCTGTTGCGCATCTTTTGGTACCGATTTTATATCTCTATCTCCATAAATTTCCAAGATATGATAATTTTGTCAAGATTTTGAGTGTTTTTTTTTTTTATAATTAGCCAAAATCCACAAAGTCCAAAGATGAAATGAGAGACATAAAGTTTGTTCTTTCTGTAGTGTCATAAACTGTATAAAAAAGTGGAGTGAGTGAGTGTGACGTCACCAGAGCGTCTCAATGACACGTATGACTCAGGGTTTGGTAAACCCAAGTTTCCAGAAAGGATAAGGATGTTATTTTTTTTAAAAACCAACAGATTTAAGGCTTCTGCAGACACTAAATTTCTGTGGCTTTGGCAGGTATAGAAAACTGATAGTAGGTACAGATTGATTTTCAAAACTTTTTTTCAAAAAGTTGGGCAAATGATGCTCCTTAGTGACCAGGCGTCCCAGTTTACCCGGGACAGTCCCAACAGATTTATACAAAACCAGTGATTTGTCTCAGTTTTATACAAGAAATGTCCCAGGTGTCCCTATTTTTGACCAATTTGATCTAAACCAGGACTAAACTAAGACTAAACCTGGACTACATCAACTCTAAACCAGGACTAAAACAGGATCATGACCATTTTTGACTAATCTGATCCCTGCCAACAGTAAAGAGGAGCATAAATTGTCAATTGTTTCACCAAATTACAGAAATCCATGTTTGCGAATGACCATAAAGCAAAAAAAAATTCAACGACAGAAGCTCCTCAGATCATGACTGACACGCTCTTTTACGATTTTATTTATACCAAACATCCCAACCCGGGTGTGTCCCAGTTTAGAAATTTGCAAATCTGGTCAACTTATTCATCCTTCCACGTGACAATTCTCCATAAATGTACAAAAAACAACTTGACAAACCTGGTGCGATGTGCAGGAGTTTGCGTAGAATTCGGTGAACGGTGGATTTTCAGAACAATAAAAGGTAACGTGGTGATCTAAATCCGTGTGTGTTGTGTGTTGTGTGTTGTGTGCTGTGTGTTGTGTGTTGTGTGTTGTGTGTTGTGTGTTTTGTGTTGTGTGTTGTGTGCAGGAGCGCCACCCGGGGGACAGCAAGAACTACAACGAATGTATCCGGCACGAGACCATGAGAGTGGCCGTGTGCGACATGCTGGAGGGGAAAGTGCCCTGTCCCGACGCCCTCTGGTAAACGCCGCCTGTGCTCCTGTTAGACAATGTAGTAGTGTTGTTGTAGTTGTTTTGTAGTAGTATAGTAGTAGTTGTAGTAGTGGTATTTGTTTTTGTAGTAGTTTGTTGTAGTAGTTGTAGTTGTAGTAGTAGTAGTAGTAGTAGTATTTGTAGTAGTAGTAGTAGTGTAGTAGTAGTTGTAGTAGTTGTGTAGTAGTAGTTGTAGTAGTAGTTGTAGTAGTTGTAGTAGTTTTGTAGTAGTAGTTAGTAGTTGTAGTAGTAGTAGTAGTAGTGTAGTAGTTGTAGTAGTTGTATTAGTAGTAGTTTTTGTAGTAGTTGTATTAGTAGTAGTTTTTGTAGTAGTAGTAGTAATAGTTGTTGTTTTAGTTGTTGTAGTAGTAGTTGTTCTTGTTGTTGTTGTAGTAGTACTTGTTGTAGTTGATGTAGTAGTAGTACTTGTTGTAGTAGTTGATGTAGTCGTAGTAGTTGATGTAGTCGTAGTAGTTGTTGTAGTCGTAGTAGTTGTTGTAGTCGTAGTAGTTGTTGTAGTAGTAGTAGTTGTTGTAGTAGTTGCTATTGCAGTAGTAGTAGTAGTAGTAGTTGTTGTTGTTGTTGTTGTTGTTGTTGTTGTTGTTGTTGTTGTTGTTGTTGTTGTTGTTGTTGTTGTTGTTGTTGTTGTTGTAGTACTTGTCGTAGTAGTTGTTGTAGTCGTAGTAGTTGTTGTAGTCGTAGTAGTTGTTGTAGTCGTAGTAGTTGTTGTAGTAGTTGCTATTGCAGTAGCAGTAGTAGTAGTAGTAGTTGTACTTGTTGTACTTGTTGTACTTGTTGTACTTGTTGTACTTGTTGTAGTTGTGTAGTAGTAGTACTTGTTGTAGTAGTTGTTGTAGTAGTAGTAGTTGTTGTAGTCGTAGTAGTTGTTGTAGTAGTTGCTATTGCAGTAGCAGTAGCAGTAGTAGTAGTAGTTAGTAGTAGTAGTAGTAGTAGTAGTAGTAGTAGTAGTAGTAGTAGTAGTAGTAGTAGTTGTTGTAGTAGTAGTTGTTGTTGTATTGTCGTAGTAGTTGTAGTAGTGTAGTAGTTGTTGTTGTACTTGCGTAGTAGTAGTAGTAGTTGCTATTGCAGTAGCAGTAGTAGTAGTACTTGTACTTGTTGTACTTGTGTACTTGTTGTAGTTTTGTAGTAGTAGTAGTTGTTGTAGTAGTAGTTGTTGTAGTAGTTGCTATTAGTAGCAGTAGTAGTAGTTAGTAGTAGTAGTGTGTAGTAGTAGTATGTAGTAGTAGTTGATGTAGTAGTAGTAGTTGTTGTTGTTGTAGTAGTAGTAGTTGTTGTTGTAGTAGTAGTTGTTGTTGTTGTAGTAGTACTTGTTGTAGTTGATGTAGTAGTAGTACTTGTTGTAGTAGTTGATGTAGTCGTAGTAGTACTTGTTGTAGTAGTTGCTATTGCAGTAGTAGTAGTAGTAGTAGTAGTTGTTGTAGTTGTTGTAGTTGTTGTAGTTGTTTGTAGTTGTTGTTGTAGTTGTTGTGTAGTTGTTGATGTAGTTGATGTAGTAGTAGTAGTTGTAGTAGTTGCTGTAGTAGTAGTAGTTGTTGTAGTAGATGTAGTTGTTGTAGTTGATGTAGTGGTTGTAGTTGATGTAGTTGATGTAGTTATGCAGTTGTAGTAGTTGTAGTAGTGTAGTAGTTGTTGCAGTAGTAGTAAGTAGTTAGCAGTAGTAGTGTAGTAGCAGTTAGTAGTAGTAGTAGTTGTATAGTAGTGTAGTGTAGTTGTTGTAGTAGTTAGTTGCAGTAGTAGTAGTAGCAGTAGTAGTAGTAGTAGTAGTAGTAGTAGTAGTAGTAGTAGTAGTAGTAGTAGTAGTAGTAGTAGTAGTAGTAGCAGTAGTAGTAGTAGTAGTAGTAGCAGTAGTAGTAGTAGTAGCAGTAGTAGTAGTAGCAGTAGTAGTAGCAGTAGTAGTAGTAGTAGTAGTAGTAGTAGTAGTAGTAGTAGCAGTAGTAGTAGTAGTAGCAGTAGTAGTAGTAGTAGCAGTAGTAGCAGTAGTAGCAGTAGCAGTAGCAGTAGTAGTAGCAGTAGTAGTAGTAGTAGTAGTAGTATGTGTACCATCATGTACTGTGTCGTGTGCAGGAGCGTGATGGAGAAGTCCTTCCTGGAGTACTACGACTTCTACGAGAGCGTGTGCAAAGAGCGGCTGCACCTACAGGGACAGAACATGCAGGTGACTCCGCCCCCTCCGCACCACAAACACAAACACAACTCTGATCATTTAGTAAGAGTCCGATTCTTGATCTGAAAAATTCCAGTTATGCTTTTTTTTTTTTTTACATCGACTGTATAAAGAAGTGGAACTAACCCCCAATGCACACGAAAGCACAGCAGCACAGCACACGAGCAGCAGACGCGCAGCTTTACACTTTCATTTTAACCGGTCTGACAATGTAACACCGGCAGTGTCATACGCGCGTCCAACGAGCGTCTGACACTGACGCGCTGCTCCAGAGGTTGGAGTTCTAATTTTGCAGCGTCGACGGTGCGTCTCCAAGGTTTTTAGCAGGGGAAAGACAGGAAATAAACACGCGGTGTCAAAATAAACTTCCGATGCCCTTTCAAAATAACTTAACCAAAGTCAAGACAACGACGTAAACAACGCACACTGTGTCCAAGGAAAGGTTAATGATGGACGACGAAAAGTTAATCCTCAGACTGGAGAAATATAACGTGATTTACGATGTCAGACACCAATTCTGGACATGGCACTCGAGACCGGCACATCACAAACTCACACTCTCCCAGCGCGCGGCTTGTACGAAATAGTTCCTCACCTTTTCACACTCGTAGAAGGACAAGACGAAACGTGAAGCAAAAACTACTTTATTTTTCGGACTATAAAGGTGCACCGGATTATAAGGTACAATATCAATAATGTTGAATTCTCTCGTCTATTTTCAAACATAAGTTGCACCGGATTATAAGACACATTAAGCGAAACAGACGACACTTGAGATTGATCCTTAACCCAGGCGTCCACGATCCATCGGCAGATCGTGGTGCAGTTCGCCCGGCGTTTTCTCCCTGTCTTGGTGAATGTGTTTTATGAACACATTCACCAAGACAGGGACAACTCAAATATACACTGAGTAATAATGTGTTTAATGCAGCTTTGACACATTTGTTTATATTTTACAGAAACAAACCTTAAAACCACATGGCTCATTTGCATAAACTATAAGCGCTGAAAAAAAAATCCAGCTTGCTCCTTGTGTCGCTGATGCGGTTCAGCTTCTGTTGGACTCCGTGAGGCTCTTGACTTGCTGTAATACTCCAACAATCTGTCAAGCACTGCAGCTTCGTAGCTTACCAGTCGTACTAAAACATTTTGACTGATATTTGAGCGCTGTGTACCACATAAAATCGATTTGAGGCCAGTTAGCACAACCAGAATTAATACACAAGGCTACAGCAGGACTACAGCACAGAGCAGGTCCACTGCGACATGTAGATGAAGTTTGCCTAATAAAATGTCAAATAAATCTGTGTTTGTCACGATGTGCAACTGGTTTAGTAAATGTGCAGAGGCGCCGCAATATCACTGTAAAACCAATAAGAGAATGTAACTCCAGTTAGGAATCTGAAAAAACTAGTTTTCTTCACTTTTTTCAGTTTTGTGTAAAGTGCCAGAGGAAACTGTGGGTGAGGGTCCAAAAAAAGATGCACAGAGTTTAAGTGCAGCAGTTTGCTTGGCTTATTTTATGCCTAAATTAACATTTATCAGATCAGATGGGGATAGATTTATATAAACACTGACATATATGTGCTAAAATAACTGTAAAATACAAATAGACGCCCCATGTGCGCCCAGTTTGCCAAAAAAAAACAACAACAAAACAAAAAACACAACACTCCCCTCTCACCTTTTTGACCCCTGAACCATTTTCATGCCTGAATGAAGCTCGTTAAAGCTCACAGTTTTAGTGGAATGGATTTGGAGCCGAGTTCCGTATTTGGAATTCTGACCGAGAGTATCATAGCAACCGAAGAGCCAATCAGGAGCGAGGCTGTTGAACGTAAATACTCTTCCCACCAGTCCCGCTGGTTTGACAGGGGGAGGGCGCTTAACTCAACCTTGGGGAAAGAAGGCGCCTGATTGGTCTGTTGATGATTTTGGGACAAAATATCCAAATAAAAAACCCTGGATCATGTAGAGCGAGTTAATACGAACATTGTAAACCAAAAATCTTGCTCTACGTGCTCTTCAGGTTTTTCGTTCAACAAGAGCGTGAAACATTGTGCGTTCTCGTCGTTCTTCTGTCGCTGAATTTTTTTGCTTTATGGTCTTTTGTATGCATGTTTTTTTTTTTGGATTTTGGCTCAACAAATGTCACTTTATTGCTTCTCTTTACTGTCGGTAGGGATCAGAATAGTCAAAAATGGAGATAGTCTTGTTTTAGTCTTAGTTTAGTCCTGGTTTAGATCAAATTGGTCCAAAATAGCGACACCTGGGACATTTTTTTGTATGAAACTGTGACAAAAAATCATTGGTTTTGTATAAATCTGCTGGGACAGTGGACACAGGACTCAGAACTGGGACTGTCCCGGGTAAACAGGGACGTCCGGTCACCCTGATCTTTTGGTTGCACTCCGACATTCCGGCTGGGTACGGGTGCGTGTCGGGTCAGTCGTGGCTGAATAATGCATGAAACTGTAAAGTGTCTCTGAGCGCCTGGATTATAAACGTTCTCTAAATGTGTGGGACGGTCAGGACACTTTATTGCCTCCCGGAGGAACTTTGCCCTTTACTACAGAGCCATTTGCTGCATGACATAAAATCCCACACACAAACAAACACTGCAAACAACATTACATTAACATTAACATTACAGGGAGAAAAATGGTAATATTTTACTCGGTACAAATGTCAATATTGCGCGTTACAATGCTTTTTTAACCTGGATTGAAGTGGTGGGTTTTTCGTTTTTCTTCGTACCAATTCACTAAAAATCACCTCGATATCTCAGCGGTGAAACGCCGATCGTGCTCGTGAGTTCTCTCAGGGACGGTCCTAGATTCCAAGTTCGATTCCGAGTTCTAGCTCAAGATTGGTTTGGTCCTGGTTTAGTCCTGGTTTAGACATGGTTCAGTCCTGGTTCAACTCTGGTTTAGTTCTGATTTAGTCCTGGTTTAGTCCTGGTTCATTTCTCTTGGTTCAGTCCTGGTTTAGTCCTGATTTAGTCCTGGTATAGTCCTGGTTCAGCTCTGGTTTAGTCCTGGTTTAGTCCTGGTTTAGTCCTGGTTCAGTTCTCTTGGTTCAGTCCTGGTTTAGTCCTGGTTTAGTCCTGGTTCAGTCCTGGTTTAGTCCTGGTTCAGTCCTGGTTTAGTCCTGGTTTCAGTCCTGGTTTAGTCTGGTTCAGTCCTGGTTTAGTCCTGGTTTTAGTCCTGGTTTAGTCCTGTTTCAGTCCTGGTTCAGTCCTGGTTAGTCCTGGTTTAGTCCTGGTTCAGTCCTGGTTCAGTCCTGGTTCAGTCCTGGTTCAGTTCCTGGTTTAGTCCTGGTTCAGTCCTGTTTAGTCCTGGTTTAGTCCTGGTTTAGTCCTGGTTCAGTCTTGGTTCAGTCCTTGGTTCAGTCTGGTTCTGGTTAGTCCTGGTTTAGTCCTGGTTTTAGTCCTGGTTTAGTCCTGGTTCAGTTCCTGGTTCAGTCTTGTTAGTCCTGGTTAGTCCTGGTTTAGTCCTGGTTTAGTCCTGGTTCAGTCTCTGGTTCAGTCCTGGTTCAGTCCTGGTTTAGTCCTGGTTAGTCCTGGTTCAGTCCTTTCAGTCCTGGTTTAGTCCTGGTTTTGTCCTGGGTTTAGTCCTGGTTCAGTTTCTGGTTCAGTCCGGTTCAGTCCTGGTTCAGTCCTGGTTAGTCCTGGTTTAGTCCTGTTCAGTCTCTGGTTAGTCCTGGTTAGTCCTGGTTTAGTCCTGGTTTCAGTCCTGGTTCAGTCCTGGTTCAGTCCTGGTTCAGTCCTGTTCAGTTTTAGTCCTGGTTCAGTCCTGGTTCAGTCCTGGTCAGTCTGGTTTAGTCCTGGTTTCCTGGTTTTAGTCCTTCAGTTCAGTCCTGGTTCAGTCCTGGTTTAGTCCTGGTTCAGTCCTGGTTTAGTCCTGGTTCAGTCCTGGTTTAGTACTGGTTCAGTCCTGGTTTAGTCCTGGTTCAGTCCATATACATCGCAAAAGTTCAGCATCTTCGAAGTTCTTTTGGTGAGAGTGACTTAAAAATGCTGCAATAGTCGTGTAATATTTTACATTTTAAATACAGTAATACTGTAATGTAAGGAATTACTTTGAAATGACAGAAACAAGTCTTAAATAACACGTTTTAAAGTGACTTCCCCAACAGTGTCTGTTGTACTGCATAATGTTGTAGAGTTCTGATGGCTGTGACAAAGTTCAGTAAGAAACAGACATAAATATTAATAATCTTCATAAGTTAAAGTTGTACAGGCCGTTGAAGTTTGTTTTTAGGTTCTTTTTTCAGACCTGAGAGTTTGTTTTCATCCTGACAGTTTGTTCTGCGCCCTGTGCTCTTCTTCAGACTCTCGTGATGTTGGTGGTTTCAGATTTGCGTTTTTAAGACCCAAAAACGTCGTCTCCGTCTAAACCAGTGGTACCAAACTCCGATTCACAAAGGGCCAAAATAAAAAAAACTGGGACTAAGTCGGGGGCCAAACTAAATATTTAGTATTCTGCCTGTTTTCTCTTCTTTCGAGATCTGTAATGTTAAACCTTTTCTGATTAAAATAAATGCTTAATAATAGTTTTGCTTAAACATTGAATCCAGAACAAACAAAATATAAAATAAAACCAAAATTTGAAATAAATAATGTCTCTATAGCCCATCTGTAGGGGACAGGCCAGCTCTAATACATATATTTGATATGATATCACGGGCCAAATTTGGCCCCAGAGCCTGAGTTTGACATGTCTGGTCTAAACGAAAGGCACTTCTGATAAAATATTTTCTTGTTTTTACCCGCAAGTGTTCTTGTGTAAACAGGCCCTTGGTCTGAAAAAATAACCTAATAATGACAAAAATGACCAGAAGACCAATTGAACCTCCTTGGACTGGGCCCGGGGTCTCCGACCTGTAGCTCAGGAGCCATCGGTAACTCTCCAACCTCTTCCAAGTCGCTCACCATGTGATTTCTGAATATATGTATTGTACTGAATAAGTAAAATTGGATTAATAAAATGCCTTTTACATTGTGCATTGATGCCCTGACTTTGTGCACTAATAAATGGATAACGGTTTACATTTTATAGGAATCGATCGGTACCCCAAGGCTCGCCCTCTTTCTCATAGGCTGCGTTCAGACTGCACCCTTTTGGCCCCTATGTTCCTGTATCTGATCTTTTAATGTCAGTCTGAACCACACAGATCCAATTTTTTCAAATGTGACCCAGGACACTTGGATATGTGCTCCTGAAACTGATACATATCTGATCTTTTGACATACGACTTCAGTGTGAACGGCCAAAGTGCATTCATCCACCTACACGTTATCAACAAGACACAAACGTCACTATTCTGCACTGAAGTAGGCGAAAATTGTTAATGAACTCCATGTCACTGAAGTGAAGCACATCACCACTCACCACTCTTGGCTCCGTCTCCACATCCACACGTTCCTTTCAACGGACTGAACCACAAAACACCACGACCAAAAACCTCGTCCTTCTCCTTCTCAATCTCCTCCTTAAAACAAGTAAGTTGTTCATGTTCTGGCTCCGGTACGAGAGGAACTTTAAAATCTCCAGGTGCTCGATGCTGCGTCCATGTTTGGACAACTTCCGTAAACACAGAGACGCTCGCTTTGGTTGACGTCGTCGTGTCTCCAGTGTCACATGCGGGACACTTTTGGACCGTTTAATGTTCACACTGGAGTCACATACAGTCGGCTTAAATTGGAAATGTGAACGACCTCGCAAAAACATCGGATTTCACTAAAAAATCGGAATTGAGCGTTAAACCCTGCAGTCTGAACACAGCCATAATCGTCTCAATTTCTTGTGACTAAAACTCGTAGCTCTGTGGCATTTTCGTTTTGTAAAAGTGTCTCGCTGGAGAAAAAAGGTTGGAGACCCTGGACTAGACCATTGAAGCTATAAACATGTATTTCCTCAGTAAACGATGTGCTGTAAGTGTTTGTGTGTAACTATCGCTCCTCTGCTCAGGACCCGTTCGGGGAGAAGCGCGGCCGTTTCGACTACCAGGGCCTGCTGTCCCGCCTGGGCGCCACCCACCGCCGCGTCAGGGACAAGATGCTGTCGGAGGAGGTGCCCAACGACGACGACTCGGACTCTGACAGCACGTCCAGCGGCACGGACCCAGACAGCCAGGGCAGCACCCAGCCCTGAGCCTGTCCCCGAGCCCCCCGAGACAGGGGCCGCACCTGACACCCACACGCCCAGGGACTTGAACGCAGGGACCCGGGACCTGCCTGGGACCTGCCTGGGACGTGGCGCCGGGTGAACTTGTGTTTTTTTTGTGTGGCAAACCAGCTGTACTTCGGTGTTCAGACGAGACTGAGAAACCAGAGATTTCTACACGAATTAAAACGACTTGAATTCATAAAAGTTTCCTTAATTCGAGAAGTTTTAGCTTTTTTATTTCGTTACGATTTGTAGACTTTTTTGATTACTTTCAACTTACTGGTTCCAACGTTTTATTCCCTGTTTTTGTTTCAAGGTAAATAATCTGTTCATGGGTTAAGTTAACACTGATCGTTTTGTTTTTTTTCTTTGAAGCTTGAAAAAATCTGTTCAAATCAGTCAACTGAAAATAGTAAAAGGCGAGTAATAGTTTATTTGATTATTAAAGTTTTGACAAGAAAATGTCATTAGAATTTTATTGACCAAAGCGTTTAAAAAAAAAAAAAAAAGTGCTGTATTTTTCGGATTATAAAGCAGATTAAGTGAAACAAACGGACGACACTTGAGATTTTCTACGAGGACGACTCAAATATACACTGAGTAATAATGTGTTTAATGCATCTTTGACACATTTGTTTACGTTTTACAGAAAAAAAAAACTTAAAACCACATGACTCATTTGCATAAACTATAAGCTCTGAAAAAAACAACAACAGTTCTTTCCTTGTGTCGCTGATGTGGTTCAGCTTCTGTCGGACTAAAGGACATGACTCAGTGGAATTATATGTGTGCTTTCTGGTTTAGACCTGGTTTAGACCTGAAATAGACCTGATTATAGTCCTGGTTTAGTCCTGGTTTAGACCTGATACATTTCTATTTTATCCCAAGTTGAGTCCTGGTTTAGACATTAAATAGACCTAATTTAGTCCTGGTTCAGTCCTGGTTTAGACCTGGTTTAGTCCTGGTTTAGCCCAAATTTAGACTGAGGTTAGACTTGGGTTAGACCTGGTTTAGACCTGGTTTAGACCTGAAATAAACCTTATATCGTCCTGGTTTAGTCCTGGTTTAGACCTGGTTTAGTCCTGGTTTAGACCTGGGTTAGACCTGGGTTAGACCTGGTTTAGACTTGGTTTAGACCTGAAATAGACCTTTTAGACCTGCTTTAGACCTGATATAGTCCTGGTTCAGACCTGGGTTAGACCTTGTTTAGTCCTGCTTTAGACCTGCTTTAGACCTGATATAGTCCTGGTTCAGACCTGGGTTAGACCTTGTTTAGTCCTGGTTTAGACCTAGTTTAGAGGTGAAATAGACCTGAACTTGTCCTTGTTTAAACGTAATATAGTTCTGTTTTATCCCAAGTTTAGTCCTGGTTTAGCCCTAGTTTTGACCTGGTTTAGACCTGATATAGTCCTGGGTTAGAGCTGAAATAGACTTAGTTTGGTCCTGGTTTAGACCTGGTTTAACCCTGTCGGACAAAAGAACACGACTCAGTGGAACATGAGTGTTCTTTCTGCGACAAGGCAGCAGCCGTAATTCTCCGACATTCCATCAAGCAGAGCGGCTTCGTAGTTTACCAAAGTCGTACTAAAACATTTTGACAGATTTTTTTGAGCGCCGTGTTCCACAGAAAATCAGTTTGAGGTCAGTAACACAACCAGAATTAAAACATAAGAGTTGATTTTTGAGTGCCGTTATAGTCCGAAAAATATGGTAGTTTATTTGATCATTAAAGTTTGACGAGAAAAAAAAAGTATTAAAACTTGAGACATACTAAGTTTCGTTAAAATGACTCCGATTAAGAACAACATTTTGAATTCAAGTCTTTTAAACTGGTGTAGTGTTTTGTTTTTTTTTCTTTTTTACCGTGAGCGGTTTAACCATTAGCCAAGCGTCCGGTTCAGATCCGGCGGGACATCGGAGCGTTCCCGGGAAACATCCTGTTTACCGTGTCCTCCGCTCGGACGTCCTTATGCAGCAGACCTCATCGGCATCAGCAGCAGCAGCAGCAGCAGCACCCGGTCCTCCTCTGTCGCGCCCCGGGTCGTCCTCTCGCGCCTCGGGCCTCCGGTTCTTCCGTCGGAGGATTTCCCGCGGGCCTTTTCCACACGTTCCCGCTCGGCTCGTCACCCCGGAGCTCGCAGTTTTTTACCACAAACGTTTCGCGCCGCTTCGAAACGATCCGTGCCAATACTAAACTCTGATGTCGATGGTTTACTGGCTCAAACAAAAACACTCCAGGCTCAAGAACTTTTAGGATTAACGGCATTAGCATTATTAGCGTCATTAGCATTATTAGCGTCATTAGCATTAGCAGTCATTAGCTTCCCATCGTTTGTTTCGTTTATTCGTCACGTTACACAAAATTTCAAACTTTAAAACTGGGACTCACTTTGGTCGGGACGTTGGTATGAATAAAATTGTGGAAAAAGCGTGAAACTTTGTCCCGTCAAGTCACGTGTGGGTCAGAGTTTAATCAGAGACAAAATACTGAAGAGGACAAACAAATACAGTTTATGCTCCTCTGATTTAGTCCTGGTTTAGTCTTGGTTTAGCCCTACTTTAAACCTGGTTTAGACCTGGTTTAGAAATGAAATAGCCCTATTATGTCCCAAATTTAGTCCTGGTTTAGACCTGAAATAAACCTGGTTTAGTCCTGGTTTAGACTTGGTTTAAACCTGGTTTAGTCCTGGTTTAGCCTTAATTTTGTCCTGGTTTAGTCATGGTTTAGCCCTAATTTTGTCCTGATTTAGACCTGGTTTAGTCCTGGTTTAGCCCTAGGATTAGACCCGGTTTAGATCTGGTTTAGACCTGAAATAGACCTGAAATAGTTCTATTTTAGACCTAAAATAGTCCTGGTTTAGCCCTAGTTTAGACCTGGTTTAGTTTAGTCCTGGTTTAGTCCTGGTGTAGACTTGGTTTAGACCTAGGATTAGTCCTGGTTTAGCCCTGGTTTAGAAATGAAATGGCCCTATTTTATCCCAAGTTTAGTCCTGGTTTAGTCCTGGTTTAGTCCTGGTTTAGTCCTGGTTTAGTCCTGGTTTAGTTCAAATTGTTCAAAAGTAAGGACATCTTGAACATTTCTTGTATCAAAACTGAGACTGTCCCGAGTAAAACAGGGACGTCTGTTCATTTTGATCTTTTAGCATCGTTTATCTTCCCATTTTTATTCTTGTTTTCTTTTATTCACTAATTTTACTCAAACCTCACACTAAAACATCTAAAACTAAAAACTCTAAAGCTAAAAACATCACAGAGAACAGAAACAAACTGAAGCTAGCAACGCCATTAGCATCCTTTTGTTGTCGTTCGCGTTCATTAGCACTAGCGCTCGTTAGCTTAGCTTTTAGTGTCGCGTATTCCCGCAGTTTTGAGTTTTCAGTTTCGAGCTCAAACTGATTTATTTTTTCTAGCTTTACTTTCTTAATTAAAACACGTCAGAGTAAAACACAAACACGTTAGCGCCCCCTGCGGTTCTAAAGACGCCGTTCTTTTGTTCGTAGCCGTTCCGGGGTGAGCCGTGCCGAGTCGGGACTGTGGAAAAGAGCCGTTCTGACCTGCTGGACTTTTTCGTTTCATTCATGTGGGAGTGAAAAGTTTTGGGAGTTAAGTTATCGGGAAATGTTAGAAGGAAAGAAGAGATAAAGAACATATCGGTTTGGTTTGTTTTAACTCGTAAATATGTCGGAGGTTTCCCGGGTTTCAGACGATCACAGTGAGGCATTTTAAGTTTTTTTTTTTTTGTTTGTTTGGGGTTTTTTTTTGTCTAAAAGAATTGGTAACAAATCAGCTCTGTTCACACTTACGTCGCAAACCAGAAAGACGTTTAGAAAAATGTGATGACAACTTCCCGCGGGTTCTCTTTTTTATAGTAATTCTGACTAAATCTATGCAAGCTTCAAAAAAATCTGTAAAATTTCTTGCAAAGAGTCTGTTTGGTTGGGGAAAAAAGTAAAATTTTCAGTTTTTGTACAAAATTTAACAAAATTTTGACACGAACAGTTTTGAGAAAGAAAATGGGATATGGAGCAATTAATTGATTGTCACATAATAATCAAAGGAAATATTGTTTAAAAAAATAATAATAATAAAATATATAAAAATTTAGTAAACATTTGAAAAAAAAAAGGAAATTTTTTTCAAACCAGCTGTAGAAATTGTACTGAGCAAAAATGTCCACATCTTGATTCACAAAAAATCTGTAAAATTGATTTCAAAGAAGAAAATTTTTAAAAAAATATTTCATAGTTGTTTTTTTTTTGTTTTTTTCATTAAATATAAAAAAAAAAATTTGAGAATGAAAATGGCATATGGGGCAATTAATCATAATATTATAATAATAATCAAGAAAATATTGTTTAAAAATAATTATAATAAAATAATAATAAAGAAGGAAATACATTAAATAAATAAAGTTTTATGAATCGTTTTTCAGTTAAAAAAATATCTGATGTGTATTTTAGTTCATATATTGTTTATGCCAGGTTTCACTCTCAAAATTTTGTAAACATTTGAAAAAAAAAAAAATCATGAAAATATTACTTTTTTAACCAGCTGTTGAAATTTTCCCGCACAAAAATGTCCAAAGGCATTTTTTTAAAATTTGTCGATTTGACCCATTTTGTAAAACTGAACCCGGGAAACCTCCAAACTGAGTCTTTCTAGTCACACTTTTAGTTTTTTGTTTTTTTTACACATTGTTTTCCTTCGAGTCGGGCCGGTCACATTACCGCTTCTGCGAGTGGAATGTCACGAGTCGAAAACCTGCTTGGACGGTTTCTCGACTCCTGAGAAAAATATTAATTGTTCTGTTTGTTTGTGTCTAGTTGAAATTTCCGTGGGTAGAATTTGCGGTGGTGGATTTGAGCGCGGACACTTAAAGTTCCCGTGTTGCGCCGTTTTCTGATCTGATCTGAAGTCGTTTCCTCGTCATAAACAAACCTGGAGTTGTGTTTTGTTTTGTTTCAGTCACATGTTTAACACAAACACACCTGCAGATTTAGACTGAGCTCTTCACTCACACTAAAAATACTCTGTTCCACCTCGTGATGTCATGCGGAAATACAGGAAGTGCTGTGTTTTTTTTTTTGACTCTATACACTCCTTCATATTTAAGTTTGGGAATTTCCGATCTCCACTGAACGTCACGAGGTGGAACAGAGCGTTTTGAGCTTTGCTAATAATAAAGGGTTACGCAAAAGTCCGTGTGTCATTCGTTCATTTGTTTTTCAAAATAAAATCAAAAATAAGAAAAAGGAAAAAACTACTATTTTCTTCATTATTTGTCTCCAAAACCAAAATGAAAAAAACAGATAATGATTCATTTGTGTTTAAGTGAAAAATGGAAAAAAAAACGGATAACGGACTAAACCAGGACTAACCAGGACTAAACCAGGACTACACCAGGACTAAACCAGGACTGAACCAGGACTAAACCAGGACTGAACCAGGACTGAACCAGGACTACAACCAGGACTACACCAGGACTGAACCAGGACTACACCAGGACTAAACCAGGACTACACCAGGACTGAACCAGGACTGAACCAGGACTAAACCAGGACTGAACCAGGACTGAACCAGGATTACACAAGGACTAAACAGGACTGAACCAGGACTAAACCAGGACTGAACCAGGACTGAACCAGGACTGAACCAGGACTAAACCAGGACTAAACCAGGACTGAACCAGGACTGAACACAGGAACACAGGACTAAAACAGGACTGAACCAGGACTGAACCAGGACTGAACCAGGACTGAACCAGGACTGAACCAGGACTGAACCAGGACTGAACCAGGACTGAACCAGGACTAAACCAGGACTACACAAGGACTAAAACAGGACTGAGACCAAGACCTTTTTAAGATCTGGTTTAGTTCTGGTTTAAATCTGGTTTAGTCCATGTGTAGTAGTGTTTTAGTCCTGGGAACAGTCCTGGTTCAGTCTTGGTCTCAGTTCTGGTCTCACTTTCGATCTGGTCCTGGTCCTGGTCCCGATCTCAGTCCTAGTCTCAGTCCCTGTCGGGTCCGGGTCTCAGTCCTGATTTGGTTCTGGTCCTGGTCTGATCCTGGTCCTAGTTCCGGTCTCAGTCCCCGTCAAAGTCCTGGTCTCAGTCCTGATCTGGTCCTGGTCTGGTCCCAGTCTCAGTCCTGATCACCCAACAGTCTCGACACTCAGTACTGTTTTTAGTCCTGGTTCAGTCCGGCTTTGCTGTCACGGAAACGGGAAACGGTCGTTATCCGTCTTTTTCCATTTTTCGAAACAATTCCAAACTGAAAAAAAAAAACAAATCATTATGTGTTTTTTCATTTAGGTTTTGGAGACAAATAATGAAGAAAATAGTTCTGTTTTTCATTTTCTTATTTTTGATTTTATTTTGAAAAAAACAAATGAACGAACGACAGAGAGATTCTCAAACGTGCGTGAATGAAACAAAACTCAACTCCAGTTCTGTTTTTGAGGCGATCACGACTTTAGAACTCGTCTTAAATCTCCCTTTGAGTCCGTTTTGTGTCATATCGGACTTTTTAAAACCACGTGCGACTCTTGTGGCTCGTGGTTTGTACAGTTTTTTTCTAAAGGGCTCCTCTGAACTGTGCCGTGAATGTCGGGTCGGGTCGGGTCGTTGGTCTTCGTGGTCTTGCGTTTGTCCGGACTTTTCTCCGGACCGGTCCGAACCGTCGTGGCCGCTCAAACTCCAGGGCATTCCTTCTTTTCCGGTGGTGGACGTGTCGATGTGTGTGTGGCTCTGGACACGCGTCAGGTGTCCGGACGTGGTACTGTACAGAGATTCTGTCGCCGCAGAATAAAATGTTGTTCAGTCCAAAACTCCT